CGGTATTTTTATAAATGTAAAAAACTGTCAATTGTGATGTTTTACTTTTATAATTAGGTTTACCTCTTAATTCTTTTAAAAAAAAAAAAAAAAGTAATACATATTTTTGACAGAATCCAATTTTACCGGGAAAAACCACGTGGGTCTCTCAAGATGAACATTCATTAATGATTGCTGTAAGGAATTCTTGAAATAATATTTTCAATTTCAAAACTTATTTTCTCAAAAAAAATAAGAAATATCAAATTATGGGACTAAATCCAAAAAAAAAAAAGTTGGGAAAAAAATCGAAAAAATGAACACAAACCATATTTTTTAAAATAAATATTTTATCTTTTATTTACATTAATCTTACATATATTATTGTTATTATTTTAGTTTATTGAAAAAAATAAATAATCTATCTGTTTGTATTGGCACCATAAAAAATACCAAGGATAACGGCACACAGGATAATTACTATAATTCCTGGAATAATTTTTCGAGCACCACCAGTACAACAAGTCCTGTTTTTTCTTGCAATTGAAGTATTGTTATTATCTCTGTTGGTTGTGGTTCTAGAATTTGGTGGTGGTGATGCATGGTGTCTGCTATATGAACTATAATAGTTATTAGAGGAGGGACTTTGAGCATTTGGGTCATTTTCACCTGCACTAACTGAAGCCAAACCTTGTAAGCCCGGATAGAACCCATTTGATGAATATACATTACTATTGCTATTATTTTGATGAGGACTTTTCTCTAACCTTACTGGTGGTGGTAAACTTGTTGCATCTGTATCAATTTCATCGATGGTGTGTATTATATGGCCATTCCCATCGACGTTATATTGATAAAAATATGATGGTGCTGGTGGATATAGAGGATATGGTTGGTTTATTAATTGTTCGGAGTTTGCATTGCTTAAATTTATATTATTACTTTCATTATTATTATCATTATTGTTATGAATGTTGTTAATATTAATTTCAACACTACTATTATTATTATTATTATTGTTATTATTATTATCATTATTATTATTATCATTATTATTATCATTATTATTATTTTCGTTGTTCGGGTTATTATTTAAATTTAATTCAATTGGGCTATTTAAATTATTATCTATTGACGCTCTATCGTTGATTGGTGAGGATGGTTCGCTACAAACCTCAATTGTTGGTGGCGATAATGGTGGTATATATTCTGAACTAGAGGCATTATTATTATTATTATCATCACTATTGCGAACACTGTCTATATTTATTTCGACATCCTTAATTTCTTTTTCGTTATTATCCATTTTTTTAAAATACACTTTTGATAAAATTTTATTTAAAATAATTTATCAAATAACTTGTAATAATATTTAAAAAATTTTATTTATAAAATATAAATAAAAAAAAAAAAATTAATGTTTTTGTTAATATCGAAAAAAGAAAAATTATAATTTTTAATTAAAACAATAAATTAAAAAAATAAAAAATAATTATTTGTCTTTTTTTTTTTAATTAAATAATTTTTTTTTATTTTTTTTTATTTTTTGGAATTAAATTTTTTTTATTTTTTTTTTTAACGAACCTATGACGATTATTAAACCACATATGTGTTCTTTTTGGAATTAATTCTATTCACAAAGTCTGTTACTTAGTTATTAAACTTCACTAAAAATAATAATAAAAAAAAATCAAAATCAAAAAAAAAAAAAGTCTAAAAAAAAATAAAGGATAATAAAAAATAAAAAATAAATGGATAATAAATAATAAAAAACTGCATAGATGGTTATCTCATCCAATGTATAACAATAACATCAGATTATTACAAGGTATAGAACCAACCATATGCTTAATAGCCATACACACAACTATATTAAGTAAATCATTTGTGGAGAAAAGTAACTGTGAACATATACATCTAAAATTGATACCTTAATATTAATTTGTATAGTAGGATTAAAATTAGAAAAAAAAGATATAGAAATTTAGTTAAATAAATAAATACCCCTCTTTTTCATTGATTCACACTTCTTAAAAATTAAATTAAATGTTCGATTATATTAATTTATTAAAAACAAACCAAAAAATTTAAATTTTAAAATATTTTTTTTTTTTTTTTTTTTTTTTTTAATTTTTTTTTTTTTAATTTAAAATTTTTTTTTTTAATTTTTTATTTTATGTAAAACATAGCTTGATATAATTTTTGTTGTTTTTAAAAATTATAAATATATATATTAAAAGATGTCATCTACAACAATATCAGCAATGATAATGGGTGCAGCAGATGGGGATCTAAATTATTTAAATAGTACACCTATAGGATCTAGTTTATTGGATGATATGGGATTGGATGAAGATGATTTTCAAACCTCAACATTTGATGTATATATACCAGAGAAATACGATTCAAAATTAATGTCTGATTTTGAATATATTTCAAAGAATGCAAATAGATTTTTAGATACATCCAATAATGAAAAAGAGAATTGTACCAATACTTGTAGAGATTATGCGATTCAAGGTGAAATATTAAAATTTTTTATTATAGTCAGACCGCCAAATGACTCCAAAAAAAAGCAAAAACAGCAAAAAATTCAAGAATTATTAAAACAAAAACAAAATCAACAAACTATAAATCAAATCAATACCTCTACCCCTCCACCAACAAAATTAAATGTAACATCACCAACTTTAGTTGTATCTGATACAAATAGTAGTGAAAATATCGATAGTAATAATAATAATAATAATAATAATAATAACATAGATTCAATAGATAGTAACCAAGTAGAAAACGTTACAGTTTTACAACCATCAACATCATCATCCCAAAATTTATTATTCGAATTACAATTAAGGTTAGCAAGTGATTATGAAAAATCAACAAAAGATAATCAAAATGTAATGTCATTATATCAAAAATACAGAATGAGTTTATAAACTAATTTTTATTTATTTTAGCCATTAAACATTATAGATTATAACCCAAAGCATACATTTGTAAATACCGAGATGAGAAATGATCATATATCATCATCAAAGTCTGTAACATCATATTTAAGACAAAATACATTAAATGTACCCAATAATAATAGCAATAACAATAATAGCAATAGTAATAGTAATAATAACAATAATAATAAATTCCTTGGTGATATTATAGAAATTAATTCACCATTAACATTTAAAGATCCATCATCAACATACCAAAAACCAAACTTTTTCAGATTATCAAATGGTGACGTTGTTTTTCCAATCGAAGTACCAATTTGTAAGTTTTATAAAATAGGGCTTTTTATAATTTTTAATTTAAATTAATTAAAAATTTTAACCATCTTTCTTATTTTTAGATATTAGAGAAATTAATGAAGATAAATTAATAACGATGGTAATTAAAATTAATAGACCAAAAAACAATAGAAACAATAATATATATAACTCAATGGATAATAAATTAGAAAGATTAACACAAGCAGGTATGAATAAAAAAACAACATCTTCCACAGTAGGATCAACAGCATTAAACATTAGTTCTAGCAATAGCTCAAGTATTTCAAAGACAATATTAAAAAATTTCCAATTGATTCAGCCAATGAAGATCTATTTACAAACACAACAATTAACAGTACCAATAGGCAATAGAAATTTGGTTTCAGTAACATTAGAGAATACCCATCCAACACTACCAATTACCATAAAGAATTTGGATATTTATTTATTCCACGTATTAAATATGGAGTCTTTAACATTAATCGATACAATACAGGGCCAAACTAGTGTACCTATACACAGACAAATTGGAAATCTTGTTAAAGTTAATGAACACTATATTATAAAGAATTTAACAAGCTATCAATTGCCAATACAGCTAGAGCCCTCAAACCAATACTCTATGGTATTATCTGTTGAACCTACCTCTGTTCAAAAAGTTTTACAACCAATGGATGGCTTTCATACAAAAGTTAAATTATCTTGGGAAATTCCTTCGTCGTGTGGTCAGATTTTATCTTTATATGAATTAAAAGTAAACCCACCATTCACTACTGATTTAATGGTTAGTACTGATAGTAAGTATAGTCTTTTTTAACTATATACATATTTTGGTAGTATAATATATTAACACTAGTAATCTTTTCATCTATAGATAAATCACCAGTAACTATAAATGAAAAATTCTTTGTTAAATTTAATATATCCAATTTATCAAACTCATCAAAGAATTTAACTATCATAATTCCTCCACCAGTTATTAAACAAAATCAATCAGTGGTAACTGGAGCAGCCAATGCTTCAGTAGGTGTAACAACAACCCCTGCAACTAAAAATGATAGTAGTAATAGTAACAATACAACAAATAATAAAAAATCAGGCTCAAATTTACCAGTATTAAAATCAAGCAGCAGTGGTAAACTCATAAATAACACTCCAAATAATAATAGTAGCAGTAATTCAACACCTAAATATGTACCAGTTGAATCACACATACAATTCAGTGAAATGGGTAATAGATCACTTTTGGCATTTGATGAAATACAAAGAAATTCAGTTAATTTACTTTGTTTAGAGAAATCTGTACATATTGGACCAGTCGAACCTAAAAATTCAATTTCAGTTTCAATAGAATTTATACCATTATCAGTTGGTATTTTTGAAATACCAAATATTCAACTATTTGACAGTATAGAAAACAAATACTTTTCATTGAAAGAAAGTTTACAAATATGTTGTATTTCAGATGAATCATTCCAAGATTTAATTTTATAATAATAAATAAAAAATAAAAATAAAACTAAAAAAATAAAAATTATCTATTAATCTTTAAAAAAAAAAAAAAAAAAAAAAAAAAGAATTCCTTACTTGTAATTGTTTATAAATTTTACTTTTAAAGAAAATAATAACAACATTTTAAAAGTTGTTAATATAATATTAAAAAAAAAAAAAAAAAACTTATATCTTCTTATTTAAAGAAAACATTATAATAATAAATAATTTAAAAGGAAATAAATTCTTTCCTTAAATATCTATTAAAAAAATCCATCTCATTTTTCAATCTATTATTTTTTATTTTTTTTAGCGAATTACAATAATAAAAGAAGAAATTAACAAATTAAATTTATTTTGTAAAAAAATAAAACACATCTCACTAACACAAAAAAGAAGTTTTTTGGTGGTGCAGTGGAAAATTTTAATTTGAAGTTTTATTTTACAATGAGATAAAAAACATATACAACTACAAAAAATAAAAATAAAAAAAAAAATTTTAAAAATAAAAAAAAATAAAAAATAAAAAATATAAAATATTTTATATTTTTTTTTTCAAAACCAATTTTTATTGGTTTTCCAAAAACTTATTTATATAAATATAAAAAAACTATAAAAAAAAAAAAAAATTGTTGTTTAAATTTTATTATTTTTAATTTTTTTTTATCATTAGAAGTTTGATTGTTTGCAAACCAAAATAATATCTTTTTTTTTTTTTAAAAGTTTTTTTTTTTTAGATGATAAAAATTTAAAAACATACAAAAAAAAAACGAAATTTATATATAATTTATAAATCATAATAAAATTTTTTTTTTTTTTTTTTTTTTTAAATAAAAAATAGATCAAAAATATTTATTCAATTTTTTATAATAATATAATTTATAATAACAACAATAATTTAAAGATGGAATTAATTACATTTATTCTAACAATTGTTTTAATATTAATAATACAAAAAATTTTAAACAAAGTATTTTACAATTTTTTTTTTTTTAAATTCATATTTTTTATTTACCAATATTTTTTAAATTATATAGAATAATAGAATCTATGAAATTAATAAAAAAATACCAGGGCCTGGTGGTGTAATTATTTTTGGTAATTTATTAGATTTAAAGTTTCAAGTGCATGAAAAGTTGTATGAATGGTATAAGAAATATGGACCTGTATATAGAGTTAGATTTGGGTCCGTAGAAACTGTTGTACTAACTGAATACTCAACGTTAAAGAGTGCATTCATTGATCAATCGGAAATATTTCATTCAAGATATGAAAGAAAGAGCAGAACCAATGTTAATAAAGGTTTGAACATTGCAAATTCAAATGGTGAATATTGGTCACTATTAAAGAATACAATGATGCGTGAAATGACCAATAACAAGTTAAAAAAACAAGAACATGTTATCGAAAAGCAATCTTTTCTTTTATGTGAATACTTTGAAAAGCAAGTCGCCTCAACCGAATCCAAAATTTCAAGTGATCCAATAAATAATATTGTTAAAATGTATTCATTCAATGTTATTTTAACATTATTATTTAACGTAGAGTTCCCATACAGCCACAATAGTTACCAGAGTGAACTAATTTCGACTATTTCTCGTTACTTTAAGAGCACAGGTTTACCATTTCCAAGTGATTTCATACCCATTCTATACCCTCTTCTAAAGAATAAACCAAAGCAATATTATGACGACTATGCAAGTGTTAAAAAACTAATTTGTAAAATAACAGATGAACACCTCGAAAAAAATATGGGTGGCCACTCTCAATCTCCAAACGATTTCGAAAACTTTGAACCCAACAATATAATGGAGGCTTTTCTAAAACAATACAAATTGGGTAAAATTCCATACGACGGTGTATTATCAACCCTAATGGATATAATCCTTGCAGGCAGTGATACCTCTGGCAATACCATTTTATTCGCCATAATTGCACTCGCAAACCATCCATCAATCCAAGAAAAGCTCTACAACGAATTAAAATCCACAGTAAATGAAAAAGTTTCCTATTATTCTGATTGGAAATTAAAAACACCTTATCTATTAGCTGTAATCAAGGAGGTAAAACGTCTCTATCCTGCTGCTCCAATATCAGTACCCCACTGTTTATCAGAGGATACAATTATCCTAGGTCATAAAATAGCTAAAGGTACCCAAATAATCCAAAATATCTTTTCCACCCATATATCTCCAAAAAACTGTTTAAATCCATTGGAATTTTGTCCTGAAAGATTTCTTTCAGTTAAAACTTTTGATGATGAACCAAAAGTTTTAACATTTGGTAAGTTTATTTAATTTTTTTATTTTTTTATTTTAAAACCAACTTTATTAACTATTTGTTTTTGTTAATAGGTATTGGTAGTAGAACTTGTGTGGGATCTGCTCTTGCAGATTTTGAAATCTATTCGGTATTGGCCCATCTTTTTAGAAAGTTTAAATTTTCCAACCCAGATCCAAATGGCCACCCATTAAACGATAGAGGCGAATTTGGTTTAGCTTTACAAGCTCCCAATACTATAATTAAATGTGAATTAAGAAATTAGATAGTATTATATAATATAAAAAAATTACATATTTACCAAATAAATTTATTGCTAAAACAATTTGTAATGCTCTATCAAGTTGGAAAATATTTGTGATTTTATAAATATTTTTATTTTGTTTTGTTATTGACATTTACTAAAAATTACAAAGAAATATATAGAATAATTCAAATAAAAAACCATTTAGGATCGATATCGAATAAATAAAAAATAGTTTTATAAATAATAAAAGAGATATTCAAAGTTTTTTATTAAATATTATATAGTTTAGTTAATATATTTATATATTTACTTTCTGGTATTTTTTAAATAGGATATAGTTGATTATACGTAAGAAAATGATAAAAGCTTTATCAATTATTTCGATGGTTTAAATAGGGTATTATTTGGATAGGTTTTGAGGGATTATTTAGTTTGAAAGTTATTTGGAATGGTTTGATTCAAAAAGAGGATTAAAATTAATATAGTCAAATATTAATTTTTCTAGTCTTTCTATTTCTATTATTTCTTTTTTTTTTTTCATTTTCCAATCTCCTTTTTACAAACATTCTTTTTCTATTTTAATCAATTCTTCACAATATTCATTTAAACTATTTAAATAAAATAAAATTATAAATTTTTACATTAATGGTGATGTACGAAATAAAGAGGTCAACCTGCTAATATAATCATCAACACAAGTGAAAAATAGCACCATAATATTAGATTTATCAATATGGTTTTGTGAAGGTTTTTGAAAAGGAAAATAAAAATATTATAATTAATAAAATTCAAAATTTAAAAAAAAAAAAATTTTAAAAAAAGAGCTCGTAACAATCATAATTAAAAAAAAAATAAAAAAAAAGTTTAAAGAAATTTAAAAAAAAATTAAATTTATAAAATTAAATAAATTTTTTTTTTTTTTTTTTTTTTTTTTAATGTATTTTCATTCAGCCATCATACCAATTTCATTATCATATAATGAACTACCAAATTTTTACTTTATTCCTTTTCCACATATCAATTATGAAATGAATTATAATAAAATAATATAAATGGAAAAATGATTTCTTTAAAAGGAAGATGTGTTTAATTTATTTGAAAATTAAAAAATTTTGAAAAAAAAAAACCTCCCCTGTTTCAAATGATTACCAATTTTGATTGTAACAAATCTACATTTTTTTTTTCAATACAATTTTACTTATTTTGGAATTGATGTTTTAAATAAATTAGGAAATAGTTATAGATTAATTAATTAATTAATTTTAAATTAAATTTTTTTATTTTTTTTTTTTTTTTTAAAAAAAATTAAAAGTTTTTTAAGAAAAAAATTTTCTAAAAATTTTTTTTTTTTCCTTAAACCCCCTCCGGGGAATTTCAATTTAAAAAAAAAAAAAAAAAAAAAAAAAAAAAAAAAAAAAAAAAAAAAAAAAAAATTTCAAAAAAAAAACACATACACTACACTTCACTTCACACTATTATCAATATGGTTAATTATGTATTCTGCGTGGTGGGATACATAATTAACCACAAAAAAAAAAACACACACCACACTTCACTTCACACTATTATCAATATGGTGGTTAATTATGTATTCTGCGTGGTGGGATACATAATTAACCATTCGGCTCTAATATACTAACCTCCCCGTGGTAGAGCTGGAAACACTCTTTACAAAGAGTGGTGAATGGTATAAAAAATATAAATAAATAAAATAAATAAAATAATGGTATAAATATCATTTTATTTTCTTTCAAAATTATTTATAAAATCTTTAAAATTTTATTTTTTTTTTTAATTTTTGGGCATTTTTTTTTTTTTTTTAAAGTTTAATTAAATTTTTTTTAAAAAAAGAAATTAATATTAATTTTATCAATATGGTTTTATGAAGGTTTTTCACGCTAACGATAATTGGTGAAAACTGAGAATAACGATAATTTTTAATCACTATTATTTATTTAATTTTTTTTGAAAACAGATAAACCTTTAGTCGGTTGATATTACCGGGCTATGTTCTAATTTTTCTGTTTTGTTACCGCATGTGTAAGTCCATGAAGAGTCACTATAATATAAATAAGTTCCAACCCCATGTTCACATTTTGTTTGATATGCTTGGTGATGATGGTCATGTCTATCATGGCTCCCCCCAAAGAATGTTTCTGAAGAGCCTTGAATACCACAGTTACAAAAATTATTTGAGTTACTGTTGCATTCACATTTTAAAAACCTTTTTAAAGGCCCATACCATTGGACTTTAAGGTTTCTATGACCACAACATGGACACTTGGTATCTCTAATATAACCACCAAAAAGAAAGGCAAAACCATCATGGATAGAAGAAAATTTTGATAATAGTGTTACTATTTTATTTTGTCCAGAGATATCAGCTAGTTCTTCATCTATATTTTTATTTTTGTAAAAATCTTTTGGTATTGTGATATAATGTTTACCATCAACAATTTTGGCTGATAATGGCTCCATTACAAATACCTCTTTTATATTAGCAACTGCTGGTTCAGATTTTGGAATATCTATTCTACCAATTAAACTATAAAAACCAATTAAAAACAAAATTAACCATTTTATAATAGAGATAGAATTTTTTCTATTTCTATTAGTAACTCTGGGTGTGTCAGCAGATACATGGACAGGATGGCTTACTACTTGATCTCTAAGTCCTCTACCTACAAGGAACCTTTCTAAGTCATACAATGTTATATTTCTATCAGAACATTTTGAGGGAAATCCCCTAAAAACATTCAAATCTTCACGATCCATGATAGATTTTTGAAATAAAATCCCTAAATCTTCTATATCTCGTTTAATAGTTATAATTCTACCATTTATAAGAGTTTGATCTTTTATTTCTTTGAAACAACGAACACAACCAAAATTATTTAATTTTATTTCATTCTGGTCATTTACTAAAATATTTCTGGCATTTATACCGCAATGTATAAATCTCTTACTTTCGAATACTATTAATAAGTCAATAATTTGATTTATTACTGCTTTTACAAAATTTAAATTTAAATCAAACCCTCCTAAAATACGATCTTCGAGTGTAATACCATTAAAAAGCTCTGTGGCTACACAATAATATATATTCCCTTCTATTGTAATTTCTTTTGCCTTTTTAAACTCTAACATACCAGGGGGTCGTGGAATTAGGGCAGAATAAGTCTTTTCTCTTAAATACTTTTTTTTTTTATGGTTAATAAATTGTATTTAAATTTTAAAATTTTGTTATAAACTATTTATAAATACCTCCTCTTGATCAACCATTGCTTTGACCATTACATTCTCATTTGCAAAAAATCTTTTTCCATTTTTATTTTCATTATTAAAATATACTTCTTCAAAGTCCTTGCCATAAGTTTTAATTTTAAATCGATTTAAATTCCTCATTTTTATTATATAAAAACTATGGGAGATAATAAAATTTAAAAATTTTGAAAAAAAAAAATAAAATATTCTTTAAAAATTTCGAAAAAAAATAAAATTTTAGAACTTAAGTATAAACTTAATGGTTAAGTATTTTTATAAATTTTTTAAACCTGGAAATTTTTTTTTCTTTTATTATATTATTTACCAGGTTCTTTTTTTTTCAAGCTCTTAAATTTTTTTTTTTTTAAATCAAATAAATCTACTATTAAAATAAATTAACACAGAGATCATTAAAAATTGAAACACACTTTTTATATTTTCTTTTTTTTTTTTTTTTATTATATATTTAATAAAACTCACTAGAAGTATTTATTTTTCCATATTACATTTAATTGCTGATAATAAGCCTTAAATAATAAATGTTTTTTTTACAAATATTATTAAAAGAAAAAGTTGAAACAAATAAAAGTGAAATCAGCACCTCGAACCACTTTTTTTTTTTTTTTTTTTTACAAAAAAAATAATATATTTCAAGTTTATTGAAGAAATTGGTAGAGTTATCCAAAATGACATGGTAGAGTTTACAGAGTTTAAAGATAAAACCAAGTGGTAAAAATGAAAAAACCAAAAGATTGGTTGTATTAGATAATAAACAAAAAAGAAAAATAAAAAATGAAAAATGAAATTTTTTTTTTTTTTTTTTTAATTTTATAATTAAATTTTTTTTTTTTTTTTTTATTTTATTTTATTTTATTTTATTTTATTTTATTTTTCATTTTATTTTTTAATTTATTAAATCACATTATAACACTACATATTTGTTTAATAATACTATAGTAATATTATAGAAAACCATAATATATTTTATGTCAAAAAGAACAAATTCAAATATATTAAAGACCAGTAACAGCAATGATAACAGCATAGATGAAAATAGTTTCGATAGTACAAATAGTACATTAAATAACAGTCTTAATAACAGTTTTAATAATAGTTTTGAGTTTAAAGATAGTTTGGTTAATCCTAGTCCAATTAAAAAAGTAAAGAATTTGTTCGATTTTTCAAGAGATTTAAATGAACAGTCAGAAGACGAAGAGGATGAATTTTTAAAAGATGATGATGATATACCCAAAGATAAAGATTTAGAGCCAAGTACAACTACGACAATAGCCACCACACCAACAACACCTAATAAAACAACAAATAACTTTCTCGATTTTACCTCAAGCTTTCAAGCTGACGAAAATGAAGGTATAGACAATGACGATTTGGATCTTAGCGTATCTGCCGATGATATTCTACTTTCACAATTCGAAACATTAAAATCAGAATGGGACTCCAATACATATAAAAAATCACCACCTATAGTTTTAAAATCAGTTTTTCATTTTTATTACAAGGATTCTGAAAAAATAATTGTAAATGATTACTTGTTATTTTTTTTATATAAGGAAAACAACCATTAACATTTTATTTTATTTTGATCTATAGCAACAATTAAAAAAAAAAGGGTTGGTTAGAGTTTTTCAAATTTTAACAAGTTTAAATGACTATTATTTAGTTTTAACATCAGATTTTATACAATGCATAGAAAAGTTAAAAACCGAATCTAATGTGGTCAGTTCAAAAGTTAAACCAGAAACACTAACAAATAATATAGTTAAATCATCAAGTCCAATAAAATCAGCACCAATAGATACAACACTATTATCAAAGCAACAGGTTTTGGATTTATTTATTAGCAGGCTAATACCAAATTTCTCGGATATATCAATCAGTAAATTTAAACTACAACAGGTTTTACAAATTAAAAACTCTCATCAAATAGATAATATAGTTACCATTTTGGTTCAGTGCGGTTTATTATTATTAAAAGAAGAAAATATTTATTATTTTAGTACTCCTGGTACAGGTGGTTTTTGTTCAAGTTTAATTAAGGGCAGAAAAGAGATAGTTTCATTCATAGATCGGTTAAAGTATAAAGAAATTTTAAAATCCGAATTGTTAACTAAAAGGTTTCGTTCAAAAATAAGTGTACAACTACTCTATAAAGATTTATTAGGCTCCAGTAAAATTAAAATGTAATTATAAAATATTAAAAAACCAATTTAAATATTTAATTTAAACATTAATAACACTTAACTAATATTTATTTTAAATTCTTTTAGTATACCAACTACTCAGGGCGAACTAATCAGAATTACAGAACACCACTTATAAAAAATATTATAAAATAAAACAATAAAGAGGGAAATCTAAATTTTTTATTTAAGATACTTATATAATTTTTTTATTTAAAATTTAAAAAAATTAAAAATTAAAAAATTAATTCATCCCATTAAATATCATCATTGTAATTTGACTAATAATATGTTGCTAATTAAAATTAATAATAATAACTTTATTTTTTTTTTAATATTTTATTTATTAACCTTTATATTGATTTAAAATTTTATGTTTTTTTCTTAATTTATTTGGTTTTTATTTATTGATTTTATCGATTAATTTGTTTGTTTTCTTAATTTATTAAATACCTTTTATTGCTAAAATGGAGTTTAATATAATAAATGATTTATAAAAGTTTGAATTAATTCCCTCTTTTATGAAAGAGTCGTTAAAATATTGAATTTCGTTTATACCTTTGCTATTTGATTCTTCAAGTAAGTATAGTTGATTCAATAGATTTGTATAGTCGATAAATTTTGCTTTCATTTGATCCAAATTTAGGTTTTTATAGCTTAATGATCTTTTTTCCAAAATTTCTTTTAAATCATTGATATCTATTGTATCAATTTCTTTTAAAATTACCTATATAAAAATTAGAAAAATATAATATATTAGTAAAGAAAAGAACTAAATTTAAAAAAGAAAATAAATGTAATTACATTGCTTTCTCTTAATATATAAAAACCATAGTTTTGATATACCGAAAGGTAAATGCTTGAGGTTCCTAATGTATCGTTTATTAATTCGATCATATTTAGATTTGGTCTAGTTTGTTCGATATAATCAAAACTTGGAGTAGAAGAAGAAATTGATATAATTTCGTTTAATTTAATATCATTAATCTGCTTCCAATCATTTGTTTTTTTTTCAATAAAATCTTCTACCTCTAGGTTTTTCATTAGTCTCTTTGAATATATTGATTTATCTTCCATTATAGCATTGTGATCGTTTTCGTTCTTTGTATAAAAGCCACTTGGATAGATTTCATTGTATTTGTAGTACATTGGTATTAACATAATTGGAAATAATGTAATAAATTTAAATAGTTTAATTCTATCATTTCCTATATAATAATTATTAGATTCTTTTTTAAAAATAATCATTATAAATATTGTTTACATACTATATGTGTTTTTTAATTTTCTTTCTTCAAATGTCAAGTGTTTAAATGAACCTTCATTGTTTTCGAATGGGGGTTTTGGGTACACCCTTTCTAATATTGATTCTGTGTGTGTGGATTTTATCTTTGGTAATAATACTTGGTTATAAACATTTCTATCTTTTATAAATTTATCTATACCATTTTTAATTGAGTTTGTGATGAATTTATAATACAATTGTGGTGTTGATGCCATGATTGGAAATAATAAGTGTATATAAAAACAAAAAAAAAAAAATCAAATAAAAAAGATTTTTTTTTTTTTTTTAAATTTAGTGCAATTCTTTAAGTTTTTTTTTTTTTTAAAATTAAAAAACTTAATTTTAAAAAGAAAATCATAAAGTTAGAGCATACTTCATCAAAACCAAATCATTACCAAATATCAACCATTTTATTTTTTCTTATTTTATTTTTTTATTTTAAAATTTAATTATTTTCAAATTATTCATTTTTTAATAGTGGTGTAATTTGTTGTTTTAATAGTGGAGATATTAAATAAAATAAAACAATAAAGAGGGAAATCTAAATTTATTTTTTTCCTAAGATATAATACAAATGTCATAAATAAATAATATTTATTTTCTTTTTTTTGGAATTAAGGTTTTTTTGATTTTAAACTATAGTTTTGTTATTAGTTTTTTTTTTTTTTTGAAACTGGTTCAAGAGTATTTTAAACTTGAAGAAGATAATTGATACTGAAGAGTTGGTTGGGTTTCTTTTCTCTTTAAAGAGAAACCTACTTTTTCACCAAATAAACTAATTAATTTATCGACTTTAATAGTTGATGGTTGATCTTGGAAAGCTACAACAGTTGATTCTTTTTTAATATTTAATCTTTCACCTAAAATTCTCTGAGTTTTGAAGTCTCTACGTAATTTTCTGATTTCATTTGTTTTTGATACATCACCTTCTGGATCTTCGGCACTAATAAATTGGAATTGATGCTTTCTAAATGATGATGATGGTGATCCGCTAATTGGTGATCCACCATTTGAACGATTTTCAAATATTTGGGCATTGCCGCTAGTATTACCTTTTGGTATATTAATACCACCATCATAAGATGATGATAACACTGGATCATCGTCTGGATTTTTACCAAAGAATTTCTTTAATTTGTAAGATCTAACGGTATCTGGTTGTGGGGATACCATTTGATGAAGTGGTGAGTTTTGGTTTGGATCATATGAACCTGGTGCTGATACACGAGAGTAAAAATGAGTATTTTCAACGTCAAATCTTTCACCAAAAAATACATGTAATCTGTGATTCTTGTGTTTAATTTTATATTCTTCTTTTAATTTGAGTTCTTCTTCGCCCTCTTCAGAATTTAAACTGTATGTACTAACACTATTTGGTATAGTATTAGTTGTTGTGTTGGTAGTAGTGGTTGTAGTTGTGGTAGTAGTGGTTGTTGTATTGCTATTATTAAATGATTCTCTAATTGAGCTTGGTTCGTCTTTAGCTGTTTGGTTAGAAGTATTGTTTGAACTTGTTGGTTGATCTATTATGAAAGTATTACCCTCTTGGTCATTATTGTTAATAACAATTAAATTAATTGTATCATCATCGATAGTTCTCTTTGAAATGATTGGTTCACTTTTAGTGTCACTATTTAATTCATCGTCGTCATAATTGTCTTCAGCAATATTTAAATCGCTATTGTCTGAAAATGGTCTTGGTGATAGAGATGGAATTAAAATACCTGCGCAATCTTCTTCCATTATAGTATCTTTATTTTTGCAGCTTTCTGTGGCCATGAACAAAGCTTCGCCCATCATTAGTTGGTTGCTATCTGAGGTTGGAGAGTTGATTGGGGTTGGACAGGTACTATTGCCAATAGAGCCACCTTTACCTGGAGACAAGAGAGTAAATGGTTGGATATCGAGTTTTGAAACATTGCCCTTTTTCCAAGGTCCACCACGACCTCCATTGGCAGAGTGTTGGTGTGGAGATTTTGGTTTACCAGCAGGAACCATTTCACCAAATAATTTATGTAATTTGTATTCTCTAATGTGAGATGGTTGTGGTGCAAAATTAATTGATTCTTTTTCCTTCTTAATATCTAAACGTTCACCTAAAACTTTTTGAGCTTTAAAATCGGATCTTGTTTCTTCTGGTGATCTAGATAAGAGGTTATCGAAATTATTACTACTTCCAGCACCATGAGTTAAATCGAAATCGCTATCTGAAGATATATCGTCAATTGGGAAAATACCGCCACCACCACCTTCACCAATAACACGTTGCTTACTAATTGGAATTTTAACACGTTCACCGAAAAACTTGTTTAACTTATGAAGACGAGCATTCTCTGGTTGGGAGTTAAATGGTGGTGATGAAGTTTCTGGAGTAGTTGAAGCTCTAATTTTTTCATTATATTCGACCTGCTCGGTATCAAACCATTCCCCAAAGAATACATGAAGTCTATGGTTTCTTTCACTTCTTGGGCTACTACCAAATTGTCTTTGATTACCCTTATTTTCTTCTTCTTCTTCTTCTTCTTCTTCATCTCTTTCTTCATTATTATTACTATTATTTTGGTCATTTAAGAAATTATCGTTTTCATTACTATAATTATTAATATTACCATTTGTTACATTAGTATTACTGCAACCGTCATTAGTTGATAAACTTTCATTTAAAATTACAGCTGGTTGTTCACCAAAAAAGTTTTTGAGTTTATATGATTTTACGTTCGATGGTTGGGGAGCATACTGTTCTTTAGAGTTGTCGATAATCTTTTCACCAAAGAATTTGATTAAATTTTTTCCATTAAATTCTTTTGTGTTTGTTGATAATAAAAAGCTATCATTTGAATCGCATTCATCAGGATGTTGTTGTTGATGATCAATTTCTTTTTGAACTTTATCGTTTGCATCAATACTATTATTAATATTTGTTGTTTCAGTGATAGTTGTTAAACTTGAATCACCTTCGATATTATCGCAAGCATTATTATTTTGATTTTGATTTTGATTTTCTTTATTATTTTCATTTGGTAAATGTTCAATATTAACTCTTTCACCAAATATTTTATGAATATGTCTTTTATTGATGTGACTTGCTTGAAGTTGATGGTATCTTGCTAAGGTTTCTAATGAAATTTCCATATTGATTGGTTCTTTCTTTTCTAAAATAGTTTGAAGTTTATCTTTAAAGTCTTGTACGTCGTTTGGTTTTTTTGAACAAACTTTTTCAACAATCATTCTAGTGTGGGAAATAACTTGTGGGAAATCGGAGTATGAGTGAGCTTCAGAATGCCAAAGAGATTCGAAAAGATTAAAAGTGGTTACAAAAATTTCATCAAACCAGTTACTACCAGAAAATGCAATATCCCAAAGATTACCCTCGATGTTTTCTCTACCAATTCTAAATATATTTGAAAGTGTAAAAGACAATGAAATTGCAACGGTTGCTAATGGATATGATCTACTATTTGATCTTGGTTTTGTTATAATTGGTCTTTCTTTTAATTCAATTTCTTCATCATTATCGGCCTCAGTGTTATTTTTGTTATTATCATTGTTATTATCATTGTTATTGTTACTATTATCGGAATTTGTTAACATTGTATCGGCATTAAATAAAGATTCTTCTCTTTTAGTTTGGGTTAATAATAAACTTTGGAATGGTTGTGTATGTTGCTTTGAAAAATATGAAAGATTTCTTAGAGCTATAACACCAGTATTTTTAAAATCTTCTATTGGATTTGCACTCTATTTTTTTAAAAAAATTATAAATTAAATATTAATAACTATATCGTAATTTTTTTTTATAAATCCAAAATAAAAAATATTTACTCTAAAACCTAATAACAACCAGTTTTCAGAACTAATACCAAATGGCAAAGTCGATAATGCAGATGACCAAAGATCGGATAATAAAATTTGGTGTGATAAAACTTTGTCAATATTAATTGGATGAAGTCTTTGTACATGTAATTCTTTCATTAAATTATTCTAAAAATAAAATAAATAATTAGTAATTTTTTTTTTTTTCTAAATTTTAACTTTTTTTACATACTCTTAAAACTATATATTGTGTATTTTGACAAATTCTTGGAGTTGATTTTGAAAATTCTAAAATAAATTTAAATACAGATTCTGAATGTAATCTATTTAAATAATTTACTGGATTTGGTGATAATCTATACATATTGTTGATAGTTGTCAAAATGAGACGAACTACATCGAGTTTAATATCGGCCTTTTCATATGGATAGTTTAAAATATATAAATAAAAATTATTTGAATATTCATTCGAAAGAGATTTAATTGCATGATCTATTAATGTGAAAAGTGATGGTGAATCAACATTATTATTATTATTATTACTAGTATTATTATTTGTGGTATTATTATTACAGTTATTTGAGCCAATTGAATATGGTTTATAATTTGATGATGGTGTTGGAACTTTATTTGGTAATGATTGTGGTGATGATGATTGAGATCCTGTATTTGCTGTTGCACCACCAATGTTACTGTTTGTTGATGAAGAGGAAGAGGAGCCATCTTTTTCCTTTTTATCTTTATGATGTTCTTTATCTTTTTTATCTTTTTTACTTTCTTTGCCAACCGATGGTATTTGATTTGTTGTATTATTGTTATTGTTGTTGTTATTTGAAAAATTAGAAATTGGTAATGATAAAGATGAGGATGAATCATCGCTGGTTAATGAAGTTGATACTAAAAATACTAATAATTGAAGTGAATGTGTTGATGGTGCTAAAAATACAATATTGATAATTCTTTTGATGACATCTGAACTTAAAAGCAATAAACTACTCTTTTTTGTGCCTTCATACATTAATAATGCCAAATGGATTTGTAAATTTGATATACCATTTATTATTGCTGATTGATTGGTGTTGCTTGTTGTTGTTGATGAAGAAGAAGAAGAAGATGCTTGACCTCCACTATTTGAAATTTTAACTGATTGTAATAATTTTTCTAGAGGTTGAATATAATGATTTAATGGTCTAACTTTTAAAAACAATGTGCTGTCACTATTTATCAATGGGTTATCACTTGATTCTAGCCATTGTCCTGATGTTGCCTCTTGAATTGAATAATGGGTATATAATTCATCTTTTGATTGGGGTATAGTTGCAAGAATTCTCTTTAATCCATTATTAAATACTATTAAATTTTCAAATAAATTCTTTAAATGTAATGAAAATAAAATATCACCTTTAAAATCATATAATGATTCACCACCATTTGGATTTCTAATATGAACTTTCATTTTATTATTACTTTTATTAATTATTTAGTTATTATTTTAATAAATAATTTTTGGTTTGATTATAATACAAAAAAATTAGAAAAAATAAGAAAAAAAAAAAAAAAAAATATTTTTTTCTTTATTAAATTAAAATTTATAATGTGTGTGGGATTGGTATTATTGTGATAATGATGATGATTATTACAATATTTTATATTTTAAGGTGGTTTGTATAATATTCCTATTTTTCCAACAATTTCTATTATTTCTATATAAAATTATAGTTCTGATTATAACTAATTTATATATTTTTTGAAATAATAATTATTATTGAAGAGGAGTAAGAAAATTAAAACAAAACAAATAAAACAAAAAAATTTAATAAAAAAAAAAAAAAAAAAAAAAAGAAAACACACAAAACAAACAATAAGTTATAATATTATTTTATTGTGTAGTTGTTATATCTATTATTATTTATTTTTAATTGGGGTTTTTGTTTTTATTGTTATTGTTGTTGTTATTACTAAATAGTAATAAATTAAATATTTTATTTTTATTTTTTTTTATTTTTTTTTGAATGTAAAATTTTTAAAAAAAAAAAAAAAATAATTTTTGCAAAAAAAAAAAAAAAAAAAAAATAAAATAAAAAAAAAAAAATAAAATTTTTTAACGTAATCTAATCATCCAAATTGTATATTGGGTGTGTGTACTATTATTAATATAATTTATTTATTAAGTTTATTTTTTTAATATTGTGTTTAAATTGAAAAAATTGGAGGGTTGGGGGTATAAATTAATTTGTGAGGAAAAAAAAAAAAGTTAATCAAAAAAAAAAAAATAATAAAAAAAAATTAATAAAAAAAAAATAAAAAAAAAAAAGAAAAACAAAAGCTTTTTTATTAAAATTAAATTTAATGATGGTGATGATTTTTATTAAAGTTAAATATAATGATAATAATATCAAATATTTAATAACAATATCAATAGTGCACTATTACATTAAATATGATTATTATTAATAGTACCACACTATTATTATATTAATTTATTTAATTTTTTATTTTTTAAAATTTTTTTTTTCACATCAATGATCAAAAGAGCTTTGTGTGAAGTGGGGGGTTATTTATGCTGTTCGAGATTTGAGAGATATTTTGTGTAGTTTAATTGTGTGTACATGTATGTGTGTGTGTGTGTTCGCTGTGTTATTTTGTAGAGGTAGGGAATGTATATTTAATTATAATTAAAATTATTTTTTTATTATTTAATTATGTGATGATAAATGATATTATTTAATTATAATAAAGTACGCAGATTGTAAGATGGGATTTGGTGTTAAATATACAAAAAATATTAATATTGCATTCTCTATTATTGCCACACATTTTAATTATAACACTAGTCATTTTTCCATTTTGGTAAGGTGATATTCCCATTTATATTATGATTATAAAATTATGTTTTATTGTTCTAAAAAAAAAAAAAAAACTGTTCAAAGATAGAGGCAGAAAACATAATATTTCAATTAAAACTACACAATCCTCACACCAGGCATACACTAAATATATACAATTTATATACATTAAATGAGAGTTAGAAAAAATCACCATTAGACAACCACACAAAGCAGTACACACAAATCAGCACACACAACATAACACACACCAAATAATAACACATATACACTCTTCTAATCAATAAGAGATCATTTGTATTTACATTTTATCATAATTATGAGTAAAAGATAAAATTAATTTTTATCAATATTTTTTATTTATTTTTTTTTTTGATGATGAAGTATGATTTAATCACAATGGAAATAAATTCGCCATTATTATAATATATTTTGATCACATTTATTAATTTTTAATAATTAATTAATCACACTTTAGAGGAAAATTTTCCCTTTTTAAAACAATAGTATTTTCAAATTAAGGTTCATTTTAATTTCCATTTAAAGTTAAATTAATTTATTTATTTTAAATACTGAAAATAAAAAAAAATTTATTTTTTTTTATTTTTTTTTTTATTTTTTTTTGAAAATTTAAAATTTTTTATTTTTAAAAAAATTTTTTATAAATTTTTTAATTTCATTTTTAATTTAAAAATCATCAGAAGCATATTATTTAATAATAATATATTTATATTTATAAATAAATAATGGATTTTAAAATATCCATTTCAATACCACCTGACAACCCACCAATTGCCCAAGTTGATCATACTGGTAATGAATTCCCCTCAAAGTAAGTTTAATTAATAATGTTAAAATAATAATCACACTGTTTAAACAGTTAAAAGTTAATTTTTAAACTAAATTTTATATTTTTTTAAAAAAAAAAATATTTTTATTGTTATTTAAAATATAGTCAATTATCTAGAAATGAAAAATTTGTACAATTATTAGGTCAAATTAGACATCAAAAAGAAGTAGAATTACAAAAACTAAATGAAGAAAAGAATGAAAAACAACCTAAAGAACAACAGAAAATCGATGAAAGAGGACCAAATCCAATGCAAGTATTTTACGATCATATAAATATGGCAAGGATTGAATTGGAACAATTATTATTTTTAATTGATATGCTAAAGAATGATCAAGTTGGTTTGAACAATAATGATAAACCTGGTGATTCAGAAACACAGCAAATTTGGGATTTAACATGTAGAATTGCAACTAAACAACAATCATTAAAAAGTGTATCTAATAAATTAAAATTGGGTGCTGTGAGAATGAAAGACACTATATCTACAATGTCAGGATGGTGGAATGATGTCAGCACATTAAGAACCAAATGGAGATTAAAAGGAAAAGACCAACAATCAATGGTGGCGGGTGTCTCTGCATCGCCTCTAATGGGTATGGGTAATCAACAAGGAAAATCAAATAAAAGACTATCAATTGACTATGGTTATTATACATCCGGTTCGTTTATTGAGCAAACCGAAGCTGATTTATCTAGAGGTCCTAATGGCGAAATTAACATTGACTTTCCCAATTTACCTTACCAAGCATCCATTAATAAGCGTTTATATATTAATGTAAAGTCATCAGACTCGAAAACATTCCACAACCATTCATCATACCTAAAAAAACTCCCATCATTAAAATCAAATGCCGCATTATTATTAGCAGCAGCCAGGCAACAACAAGGATCATCCATGCCAAGAACACCAAACTCATCACTACCTACATCGTCTGCATTCAATAAACTTCGACAACAACATCAAATTCAACTCTTACAACAACAACAACTTTTACAACAACAAAATGATAATCCTGATGATCCAGAAGAGCTTCATAGAAAATTCATATTTAATTGTACAAGTCAACTCAACAAAGCACAAAAATACCAATTTAATTTTGAAATATTTGACCAACTCTCTAAAGAGGTTTCACACTTATCATCAAACACCTCGGCATCGGGTAGTGGAGGTTCATCATCATCTGGTCAACCTAACCAATCAAATTTAAATCAAGCATCACCAAATATCCCACCATCAGGGGGTACATCAGGCATAGCGAGTATGTTGGGCTCAAACTCTTCTACATCAGGTAGTGGATCATTATCAACAACAACAGGTGGTGAAAACATTATGTTAACAGAAAAAGAAATAAGAATTGAATGTGGTAATTTTAATCTATTTATTGGTATGGATTCAAAGCCAAATAAAAATAAAGACAAAGATCAACAACAACAACAAAATAAAGAAAAAGAAAAAGATCAACAAGATCAACAAGACCAAGACCAAGATCAAGATCAAGATCAAGAAAATGAAGAACATGAATCAAGGGAAAAAGATTTAATTAATATTGATAAACTTCAACAATTATCACTTGTAAATAGCTGTAATACTAGTAAAAATATTATATTTACAGATGAAGAAAAAAACCGTTTATTATTTGTTTTAAAAACTGTATTAAAGAAAATCTCTGTGCTCCAACTAAAAAGATCTCAAAAACAATTGACAATGAATTTATCAAGAAGAACTCCCAGAATAATATTTGGCAAAAAGATTCCACCCAACTCTCACAATGATGACATTATCTTTAAAATTACCTCAATTGTTAAGCATATGGATACCTACTTAAGAGTTTATAAAGTTTTAGAAATACTGGAAATGAAATTGCCAATTCGTTTAAAATCAACTCCTGCCGCTGAACCATCTTCATCGTTATTTATATTGAACTTAATTGACTCATCACAAAATATAAAGTAAGTTTTAAAGATTAAAAATTTAAAATAACAATTAAAATGATTATTAATATATTTATCTATTTTAGGAATCCAATGGTACCAATCGAAATTTCAATCAATCAAAATAAAATCGATGTTGTTCAAGGACAAAATAGATCATTTTCAAATAAAGATGAAATTATATTGGGCAGTTTTATTATCAATTTAATACGTAGTTACTTTTTAAATAATAATATTCATCCATCACATTTAGATATAGATTACAATGATGAAGAAGATGAACAACAATATTTTGAACAAAACAAAAAGTTCAAATCATCAAATTGTTTTATTGACGAAAATGACAGAGTTATCAAAAATTTAAGTACTATAAATAAACACCATCAGGCAATTGAAAAATTCTTCAAATCTTTAAATAACGATATTTCAAATAAATAGGCTTTCAATTAATAGAAACAAAAATAGAACAATAAATAAAAATATCTATCAAATTTCTAAAAAAAAATAAATAAATAAATAAATAAATTGGTCCATATACCCATAAATATACATATATAACCCCTTTTTTTATTGGACAATTAAATTTTTTTATTTTATTTTTTATTCTTTTTATAATAAATTGTATAATTTTTAATAATATAATTTGGTATGAAAATATCCAACAGGTTTCTTTTTTAAAATATTATAATAAATCAAAAAAAAATTTTTTTAAAAAAACCTTTTTTATTTGTAATTCAGATAATTACTCTCTTGCACATAAACCCAAAAAAAAAAAATTTTATTAAAAAAAAAATTTAAAAAAAAATTAAAAAATGATTTTTTTTTTTTTTTTTTTTTTTATTTTTTATTAAAATATAAACACATAATACATCAAAAACCAATTGGTGTAATTTTATAAGAAAAAAAAAAAAAAAAAAACACAACCCAAACTATATGTTGTGTGTATAGTTGTATTTTATTTATTTATTTATTTTGTGTAATATAGTAATTGTGTGTGTTTAATTGTAACTTTTTTTGTTTGTTTGTTTATTTGTTTGTGTAGTATATATATAAATTTTTTTCCTTTTTGTTTTTAAAAGAAGGGAAGAAATAAAAAATGGCATCAGACAAAGATAAACTTTGGATGATCAAAGTTGACATTAAGAAGGGTAAATCAATTGTTGGCTCCGATGGTTCGACTTGCAGTCCATATCTTAAAGTTTGCTGGGGTAAAAAACCACAAAAAACCAAAGTAGTCACCAAACAATCAGAACCAGAATGGAACTTTTCATGTCAATTCGAAATTAAAAAAGAAAAATTTTCAACTGTAAGTTCATATAATTAATTTACAATGAATATTTTCATTATAAAGTAAAAAATACTAATATTATTTTTTTTTTTTAATTAAAAATATAACAGAGACCAGGTATCGAATTTGAACTTTTTGAACATAAACAATTTTCAGAAAAAGAAATTTCTAGAACTACATTCCCATTACCAGATTCATTAATTTTAGGTGAACCATGTAACTATACCGTACCAATGGTTATTAATACCCATAAATCTGAAGTCAAGTGTGAAATTCATATCGCTATTACTGCAGTTAATTTTGGTAAAGATAAACAAGATGAAGAAAGAAAGAAACAAGAAGAAGTTCAAAGAAAATTTGTTCAACTTGTTGAACAATTAGCAACTGATGCCAAAGCAAGAGAGGGTATGTTAAAGTTACCATACGATGCTAGATTAAGATTAGTTGAACAACATAGAGATGTAAGTAGATAAATAATATTTTATTAAATATTTGCAAATGGATTTGGACTATACTAACACTTTTATTTCTTTATTTATTAGAAATTAGCAAATGAAAAACAACCAGATGATTATGTTGTTTTATTAATTAAAGAAATTACAAGAAAGAATGTTGCTTTATCATCTGGTAATCTCACCAAATCAATTTCATCATCAAACGGTTCACTTTCACCAACTACTCCAAGAAATGAAGATGGTTTATCCATTTCTGAACTTAGAAATATTAGTGTAGCCTTACGTTCACGTGGTTTAGATTGGATCCATCAATTCCATAAATTAGGTGCCACCACCCGTTTAGTTGAATTATTAGGTTTATATACCCAACAAAAAGAGTAAGTATTTTTATTTTTATTTTTATTTTTATTTTTATTTTTATTTTTATTTTTATTTTTATTTTTATTTTTATTTCATATTGTTTTTTTTTTTTATTATCTAAAATTTTATTGTTTATTTTTTATACAATAATTTATTTTGTTTTTTTATTTATTTTTTATTTTACTTGTGCGTATATTCCCAATTTATTACTATTATTGATTATTTATGGTTAATCCAACAATTTTATATTTCATAATTATGTCATTATAATAATATTTAAAAATAGAATTGTATATTTAAAAAAAAAAAATCTTTTGTAATAGTGTGGTTTTTGTTTTAAAATGTGTGTGGTAAATAATATTTATATATGGTGTGTTATTTCATAGAGATAAAGGTGTCACCGAATATTAATTTTTATATATATATTATTTTATTTATCAAATTCATTTTTTTATTATTAAAAATTTATTTTCTTTGCATAATTTTTTTTTTTTTTTATTATTTATATTGTACCAGTCATATATACCATACAGTTATTATACCATTACAATATCTAAATTCATTTTTTTTTTTTTATTTATTTTTTATAATTATAAAATTTTTATTTATTTTTTTTTATGGATTTAAATAAAATTTTGTTAAATACTAATTACCATAATCATAATCACTATAATTTTTATAGTCATACCGAGGATAGTTTAGGAAAGCAATTGGAATGTTTAAATTGTATTAAAAATTTAATGAACAATACAGTTGGTATTGGTTATATTTTTGGAATCAAGGATTCATTCAAGACCATAATTTTATGTTTAGGTTCTCAAAACGAAAAGATTAATGAGTTGGCTATTGGTTTACTTAATACTATTTGTTTTTTACCAAAGATTAATGGTCACAAGTAAGTTTTTATTATATTATAAAACAAAATATAATATATTTTATTAACAATATATTTTAATTTTTTATTTTTTATTTGAATAGGCTTTTAATTGAATTATTAAATTACTATAAAGAACAAAAGAAGGAATCAAGAAGATTTATTTCAATTGTTGAATCATTAAAATCAAAACCAGGAGTTGTTGAAACAAGAGAAACACTAAAGACCAAATCAATTTATTTATCATTTATTAATATTATTGTTAATACACCACCAGAAATTGATTTACGTTTAGCCCTTCGTCAAGAATTTTATTGGTTAGGTATTAAAGATATCTTGGTCAATCTTTCAAATTACTCTTATGATGATTCACCAGAAATGGATATGCAAATTACTGTATTTGAAGATGAAGAATCCAGAGATAATAAAGAAATGTCTGAACGTTTCAATGACTTCAAAGGTGTCAATCTCGACAGTGTTGATGAAGTTATCAAAACTTTATTAGATCGTATTCGTCCAATGGGTTTGGTCGATTGTATCCGTGAAATTGTTAAAGATCTCTTATTGTTACCAATTGACGATGATGTTGGTATTAGAAATTGGGTATTGGCTTCAAGAATTATAAAACAAATTTCACTTCGTGAAAAAGATATTGGTATCGATGAAGATATCTTATCACTAGAAAATCTTTTACTCACATGCGAACAAGAAGCTAAGGAAATTCCATTAAAATCCCATATTGAATCGCTCAAGAAAGATACTCAAGATCTTAACAAGAAAATTACAACACAAGAAATTGAACTTAAAGAAAAAATGGAAATAATGAAGAAAAATGATGAATTAAACGGTAAACAATTTGAAGAGTTTACAAATCAAAGTAAAAAGAAAGATGAAGAAATCAATTCATTAAAAGAAATGATTGAAAAATTAAAAAATCAAGCTCCAGTTGTCGTTGTTGCTTCATCTTCAGCACCAGCCGCTGCTGCCCCACCACCACCTTCCCCCACCACCAGGAGGAGCCCCACCACCACCTCCACCTCCCCCACCACTAGGGGGTTCAGGAGCCCCACCACCACCTCCACCTCCCCCACCACCAGGGAGGAGCAGGGAGTCCCACCACCACCACCTCCACCACCAGGATGCGGCCCACCACCACCACCTCCCCCACCAGGAGGTGGTCCACCACCACCACCTCCCCCACCAGGAGGCGGCCCACCACCACCACCTCCACCAGGTGGCTTTGGTAAAGGTCCACCACCACCACCAGGTGGTTTTGGTAAGAAGGCTCCAGCTCATCCACGTAAAGAAGTACCATTACCAGGACTTAAGATGAAAGGTTTACAATGGGTTTCAATGAACGATAAAAAGATTCAAGGTACCATTTTCACTAAATTTACATCAGATTCCGCCAAAGATATCAATTTGGATTTCAAAGATATTGAAAATGTTTTTGCAGCCAAAGTTATTGAAAAGAAAGAATCAACTGCCCCAAAGAAGACAGGTCCTGTTCAAATTATTGATCCAAAAACTTCACAAAATCTTTCAATTTTCCTTTCACAGTTCAAAGGTAAGTCATATGATGAAATTTGTGGTGCCATCCAAAAAGGTGATGAAACAATGTTCCAACCAAATCACATTGATGCTTTAATTACTTTCCTTCCATCAGAAGATGATATCAATAACATTAATGAATTCCTTAGAGAAGAAAAAGAAGTTTCTAAATTAGGTCCAGCTGAACAATTCTCACTCAAGATTCATTCAGTTCCACAAGTTAAATCACGTCTTTTAGCATTAAAATTCAAGAATACTTATGAATCAAAGAAAACTGATCTCAAACTCGACATTGAAAACTTTAAACAAGGAACTAAAGAAATCAAAGAGAGTGAAAAAATTCCAAAACTTTTAGAAGTCATTTTAATTTTAGGTAATTTTATTAATGGTGGTACAGCTAGAGGTAATGCTTTTGGTTTCAAATTAAATACCATTACTAAATTAGCCGATACAAAATCAACAGATAATAAAATTTCATTGGTCAATTATCTCACCAAAGTTGTTGTTAAAGATTTCCCACATCTCCATACTTTTGCTAAAGATCTTACTCATGTCGAAGCTGCCTCCAAAGTTTCACTTTCTGTTTTAGCTGCTGAAGTAGCTACTTTAAGAAAAGAGTTTGTTCAAGTTCAAAAATCAATCGAAACCCTCAATTCAGGCGAAGAAAAAGATGAATTCAAAACCAAATTTGAAGATTTCTGTGTTCAAACATCAGAGGATATAGATTTAATTACCTCTGCTTCACAACAAATCGAAACTGACTATAAAGAACTTTTAGCTGTATTTGGTGAAGACTCAAAGAGTGAACCAAATGAATTCTTTGGTATGTTCCTCAAATTCATGGATCAATACGATAAATCCACCAAAGAAAATGAACAACTTTCAATTCAAGCCGAAAAGATTGCTAAAAGAGAAGCTGCCAAGAAACTTAAAGAAGAAGAAGATGCCAAGAAGAAACAAATGGTCGAAGAAGGTAAACAAAAGGGTGAAGAGAATATTGTTGATGATCTCTTAAATACAATTGCTAGTGGTGATGCCTTCAAGAATAGACGTCGTGTAAGAAAACAAGGTAAAAATGTTGATTTAGACTCTGTTGAAGCTGCAATAAATGATCAAAATTAACATTAATTATAATTTAACAATTTTTAAAATAAACAAAATTTTTTTTTTATAAACTATATATCTTTTTTATTTTTTAAATTTCTTTTATAATAAATATTATATTATAATATTGATTGTTGTATTCAAAAAACATAACAAATCATAATTTTTTTTTTTTTTTATTCCACGATATTTTAAAATTTTAATTAATAGGAACTATAACCATTTATATCAGTTTTAATTTATTTAATAGTAGATGTATTTAATTTAAAAAAAAAAGAAAGAGGGAAGTTAAATTTGTGGTTGTATTGTTATAGATTTTGGGTTTTATATTTTTATAAAGGGAGCTTGTAAAAAATTTACAAAAATTTTTTTTTTTTCAAAATTTTAAAGATAATTTTTTATTTTTTTGAAAATTTTTTTTTTTTAAATTTTATTATTATTTGCGGTATTTTTTACTAAAATGGAGAATACTAAAATGGAGAAATTAAAAAAAAAATTTGGGGGTAACTTTGAAGAAATAAATGAAAATAATGAAAATATAAACAAAAGATTTTTTGCAAATGGGAGTGTAATGGTCAAAGCAATGGTTGATCGAGATGAGGTATTTATAAATTGTTAATAACAAAATTTTAAAATTTATTAACCATAAAAAAAAAAAAAGTATAATAGAGAAAAGACTTATGCTAACCTAAATCCACGACCCCCAGGTATGTTAGAGTTTAAAAAGGCAAAAGAAATTACAATAGATGGGATAAAATATGGTTGTGTTGTCATAGAGTTTTTTAATGGTAGAACACTTGAAGATCGTATTTCAAAAGAGGTTGATTTAAATTTTGTAAAAACAATAATAAATCAAATTATTGATTTATTAATCGTATTCAAAGAAAGAAAAATTATACATTGCGATATAAATCCCAGAAATATTTTAGTAAATGACCAGAATGAAATGAAATTAATTGATTTTGGATGTGTTCGTAATTTCAATGAAATTAATGATCAAACTCTTATAAATGGTAGAAATATAACTATTAGACGAGATATAGAAGATTTAGGGATTTTATTTCAAAATTCTATCAAAAATCGCGAAGATTTGAATGTTTTTAGTAAATTTCCTTCGAGATGTTTGGATAGAAATATAACATTGTATGACTTAGAAAAATTCCTTGTAGGTAAAGGACTTAGAGATCAAGTAGTAAGCCATCCTGTCCATGTATCTGCTGACACACCCAGAGTTACTAATAGAAATAGAAAAAGTTCTATCTCTATTATAAAATGGTTAATGGTTTTGTTTTTAATTGGTTTTTATAGTTTAATTGGTAGAATAGATATTCCAAAATCTGAACCACCATATGTTAATTTAAAAGAAGTATTTGTAATGAAACCATTATCAGCCAAAATTGTTGATGGTAAACATTATATCACAATACCAAAAGATTTTTACAAAAGTAAAAATATTGATGGAGAACTAGCTGATATCTCTGGACAACAGAAAATAGTAACATTTTTCTCAAAATTTTATTCTATCAGTGATGGTTTTGCCTTTCTTTTTGGTGGGTATATTAGAGATTCTAAATGTCCATGTTGTGGTCATAGAAACCTTAGAGTCCAATGGCATGGGCTTTTAAAAAGGTTTTTTAAATGTGAATGCAACCATAAAACAAATAATTTTTGTAAATGTGGTATTCAAGGCCCTTCAGAAACATTCTTTGGGGGGAGCCATGATAGACATTATCATCATCACCAAGCATATCAAACAAAATGTGAACATGGGGTTGGAGCTTATTTATATTACGGTGACTTCTCATGGACTTATACTTGTGGTAACAAAACAGAAATATTAGAACATAGCCCAGTAATATTAACTGAGTAAAGGTTTATCTGTTTTCAAAAAAATTAAATAAATAAATAAGGTTTTAATTTTTTTTATTTAAATAGTTTAAATATAGAACCATTTTTTACCATCAAAATTAAAATAGAAATGGTAAAAGAATGCAAATAAAAAAACAAATAATAATAATGTTATTTTGTAAGTTGTTATGTTGAATGGGAGTGATTTGATTGATTTGGTATCTTCTCTAATATCTATAATCTCTTCGTTTTTTATTTTATTATTTTTGTATCCATCTTGTTTCTGTTTGTATTCTAATTTATCTCGGTCTTCATTTGCTTTGTATAGGTCATAAAAGGTAAAATGCTTAGCTTTAGATCCGAATATTGGTGTTGATGATGAAAATGTTGATTTTGCTTGAGGACCAAAAACAGAAGCGAGAGAAGATTGTATTAATGGTTTGGTTTGAGTTTTTCCAAATTCTATATTTATTGTTCTATTTCCAAACGGCAGGTTGTTGTTGATAATGGAAGAACCAAATTGTTTATTTTCAGTATGGCTGAAGCCAGGTTTAAGAGATGAGATCCCATTTGGAGCCGAAAATGAAGCAGGTGCTAATACAGTAGATACAGAGTTGATTGTTTGGGATTTTTTAATATCTAAATTTATGTCTTCTTTATCTTTATTGATTTTTTCTTCGAGTTTACTACCAAAGCTATAAAAAAATGAACCATTTTCAAAACATTTACTATTTACACTTTGCTTTTTATTTTCCAAAAATGAGTTATCTTTTGGTACTGAAAATGAAGGTAAAAATATTGAGGGGTCTACAATTTTATTTGTTTTTTGATAAATATCAAAGGTTTGATCTGGTGTTTCTGTATCGCTGATTGGGTCCAAAATATTTGAAAAGAATATCGGTTTTTCATTAATGTCTATTAAATCTTCAGATTCTATTATTGCATTGATAGTCGTGTCGAATTGTTCAATAACATTTTCTTTAATATCTTTTTCTTTTTGTTCATCTGGTTTGTTTTCATTGAAATCCCTTGTTATTTCACCTCTTTTTTTCCTTCTTTCAATAAAAGAGTTCTTAAATGTTTCTCCAGATTTATTTGAATCTGGTATAGTTTTTGTATTTAAATCCAACAATAACTTTAGTGGGGTTTGGGTTTTTCTAATTGATTGAATAAAACTACTAATAAATAATGATTTCCTTTTATACAGTGATGGACTGAAAGTTTCACAATTTCTTTTATAATAATAGTCGGAGAAATATAAAGATTCATTATATTGTTTAGTTTTAATTAAATAATCAATATTGATTTCTCTAAACTCTTCTTGATTCTCTTTAAAAACACCGCAACTATTTAGTTCTAAAATATAACTATCGCAATCTTTTAGTTCTTCTTCTGTTAAATTACCCAACAATAATAAAGACTTTGTTAAATTAAACAATGCATTGCTTTTTTCGAAAGGATGGTTTGATTGTCTATATTGTAAAGCCAAGGTTATTAGTATATATTTCGTATAAAATTAAAAATAATAATAGTTTTATTTTAATGAATAATACTCTTTAAATTTTTTAATTAAATTTTCAATAATATTTTTTATATTATTATTATTATTATTATTATTATTATTATTATTATTATTATTATTATTATTATTATTATTATTATTATTATTATTATTAATATAAATACTATTACTATTATTTGTTTTTATATTTTGAAACATTTTATAAATAGTTATAAACTAAAAAGAATAATAGAATTTTTTTTTTTATATTTAAATACCTTTGTTGAAAAATTGAGATAATTTAAATAATGTTTTATTATATTTTTATTTATTTATTTTATTGTGACTTTTGTTTAATATTTATTAATAAATTATTTTTAAAAATAAAAGAAAAAAAAATACTGTTTACTATCATTTTATAATTGAAACTATTGACTATTATATATAAATGATTACAGTCGATTTATAAAAATGAAAGCAATGATTCAGTTTTTTTTTAAAAATTTTTTTTTAATTTTTTTTTTTTTAATTTTGTTTTTTGTTTTTTTAATTTTATTTTTTATTTTTATTTTTATTTTTATTGTTTTTATTTATAAGAATATAAAAAATGAATCCTTTTGAAGAGGAAAATCCATTCGATGTAATACCAAATAATAATAATAATAATTTTAATAACAATAACAATAGCAATAATAATAATTATAACAATGTTAATAATGATATTAATAATAATAATATAAAACAACAACCTATTTATAATACTAATATTGATGGTGCAAATAAACAACCAACAAAAGAAAATACATTTATAGACCCTCTTTCAAATAATATTAATAAGCGTGCTAGTCTGTCAGTAAAACCATTACCATCACCGCCAACCCAAAAAAAAAAAGAAACCAATATAAATAGAGATGATGAAAGTAATCCATTTTTAACATCAGAACCACAAAAATCTTCAACAAATAACCCGGAAGAATTAAACCCATTCATAACATCAAAAAATAATAATAATCAAGATGAAAATAATCCTTTTTTAGTAAATAATAATAACAATAATAAAAATATTACTGATAATATCAATAAAGAAACACAAATAAATAAAGATGAAGAATTAAATCCATTTATAGCATCAGAGCCACCAAAATCTTCATTAAATAATTCAAACTCTTCATTTAAAAGTAATAATATTAATAATAATATTATTAATAATAATAATAATAATAATATTCAAGACCAAGAATTAAATCCATTTTTAACAAAAGAGATAAAAAATAACAGTGGACCAAAAAATAATGATGATGAATTAAACCCTTTTTTAAATCAACCAAGCGATAGCAAAAAACCATTACCACCACCACCAGTACAGCAACAGCAACAACAACAACAACAACAACAACAACAAAATAATTTTCAATCATCTTTTGAAGCAGCACCAATACAAACACCAAGCTTTGATATTGACACCTTAATTAAAAATATTAAACATCAAATGAATAAAGATTTTGAAAACAAAGAATCGGGTTATAAGAGCAACATTAAACAACTAAGCCAACAAAATGACTCATTAAAACTTTCATTGGATGAATTAAATAAAAAATTTATGCAACTATTAGAAAAAAATGAAGAGTTAACAAATACAAATCAATTTATAAATCAACATAAAACTCTTATAGATGATAGTCCAATTAATAGCAACACATTTAATTTAAATCAAGAAATCAAGAGATTAAATAGTTATAAAACCTTTAGAGATAAAAAAGAACTATTAAAGAAGGCGTATCAGTCAATGGACATGGACTCTACTTTGACGATACTTCATTATATTTATAATACTCTTAATGCAAGCTTGTTTATCAATATGGTTCAATCGATATCAAGTGATCTCTTTGACATGTTTTTAGGTTATCTTCGTAGGATCGGAAAATTCAGTGATGTCATCGCTTTACAAAAACAGATCAACCAAAGAAATGAAGAAATTTATATAAATTTATTTTTAGCACTTCAAGAGAAACAAGATATGAACAGAAGAGCTTTGTTGCTTACTCAATGGTTTGACTCATTTAGCCATATGGTATCAAAAGAAAATGGAACCATTTATCAAAGCTTTGAAGTAATATTAAAACAAGTAGAAGTTTTCCTCTCTGTATTAAATAGACAAACAAAGATTGAAGAATTTGATAGATCTTTGGAAGCCAAAGGAGATATCGTTTTCAGCAAAGTTAAAGATTCAATATAGTAGGAAGATCACTCTACGATACAATCTATATTGCTTACTATACCATCCAACTGCACCCAAAGATAACTATCATCACCAATAGCA